CAATGAAATTTTAAAGAAATTTTATTCTTCAATACTACTTGCTTCTGACAAATTTAATCAAATATAATCAGATTTGTCAGCAACTTAATATATAATCGATCATGTTTTTGGATAGAACATTATTATAAGCAGCCAATGAAATTTCAATGATTGACAACCAATCAAATGGATTTTCAACCATGCTTGTGACGCGTCTATACAGGTATTCTTTATATCGTTTTTTACATATACTAAAGTACTGAATGAATCTTTTGCTTTTTTAGATTACTCTAAATCAAGAACCACACTACAAATAAAATGATTTCCGGATTTAAGTGCTATTAATGTCTGCACAGATAAGTAATACGATTTAATTTCTTTTGCTTTTTACACATACTAAAGTACTAAAACAAGTCTTATAATTTTTAGGTTACTTTATCAAGAGCCGCATTACTAATAAAAATGCCTTGCTAAAGTATTATATAAAATTTCAAAAGGTCATAAGCAAGAAGTTTGCAATCTAAAACTGTTGGGCTTATGACTATCAGAATTCTGTTAGTCGGGAACTCAAATAGACTTTTTTGCTTGAATTGGTTATTACTAATACTGAGCTTACTAATACTATTCTTACAAGTTCTTTTTCTCAAACCAAGATCGTAGCGTCAAACAAAAACTAGGATCTATGGAAGAATATAACGAGGATGATATCGATATAGCAACATATTTTGAGGAAACTTCTCACTGTAACGAGGATATAAGTAACATATACAGTAATGCGGAGATAGTATCTTTAAGGAATGGAGACTCTTAAAAATTTTGAAAAAGCTGAAGCTCACATACAGCATTTTGCTAAACATAAAGGGTTTAAGGTACGACTTGGGCGTTTGAAAACAGTAAATACTGCAGAAAATGAAAAGGCAACTCGAAAATGGACTATTCTTTGCAAGCACTCAGGTTTATTTAAACCAAAAGATAGTGCATGGCAAAGTACTTTAACCCATATAATGTGTCCATGGCATATTAACCTTTCATGTCCTTTAAAAGATAATCCTGGTTTTCGCATAATTGTTACCACCTTTAATGATAATCATAACCATGATTTATCTTATGAAGCAATACAATTTGAAAAAAAACAGTTTACTGAAGAAATGTGGCAAGAAGTTGAATTTCTGGTTACTAAGTGCCAGCTTGGCGCAACCATAGTGTGATGTATCTTAAAGGAAAAATTTCCATCTCATCCCCTGTTTTCTAAGGATCTCTATGTTGAAATACAACAGTATTGACCATCAAATAATGTAATTAAAAACAATGCATCACATTTTTATAACCAGTTGTTGTCAAAACAATGAGAGAATTCTTGCTGGTTTATTGAAATTACATGGGAAGATGAAACTAATACATTAACAAATTTGTTTTGAATGAGTCCGGAACAAATTTTGTTATGATATGAGTTTGGTGAGTCAATTGGTCATAATAACACAGCAGGTACCAATAGGTACAACATGCCACTTTCTTTGTTTGTAGCTCAGGACAATAATATGCAATCTCGTATCATCGCTCAGGCTTTTGTCAGTAATGAGACAGCTGAAACATACCAATGGGTCCTTCAAATGACAAAAAAAGCCACTAACAATAGATACCCCAACGTTTTTGTAACCGATGGTGATCCAGCAATGGAACAGGCAGTAGTACTAGAGTATCCAGGAATGCAACATCTTTTTTGTATTTGGTATGTTAAGGAAAATATAAAAAAGATGTTGCATAGTAAGTTAGAGGATTCATTTGATGAGTTTTACAGTAAATTCTGGCAATGCAAAAATGCAGATACGTTACATGGTTTTGAGTACTATTGGAGGCAACTTATAAGTTTTCCTAATGCAAGGTTGTATCTTGAACGTTACCTTTATGAATGTCAGTTTTTGTGGGCATGTGCTTTCACTGTGACAGCATTTACACTAGGAATTCAATCTATGTCTTTCGTCAAAAGTCAAAATGCATGCATCAAGAGAGTGTTAGAAAGCAGTAATACATCTTTGTGTGAGTTGGGTAAAGTACTAATGGAGCAAAGTAATGAGGAGCAAAAATGAAAGCAATTTGAAAAATGGAAATGTGGTACCCCTTCTTCAACAAATGTTGTTACTATTTTTCCTGCTATTGAATCTTTAGTAAAACACTATTTAAGGCTGAACGTTTCTCATTTTTTAATAGAACAAATGAAGGAAAGTTTGTATTATATGACCAGTCATTCTACAGTTGAAGAGGTCGAGTCACTTATTATTTGTGAATCATCACAAAGTAAAGACATGGATGGTGAACTTGATGCTGTTAATTTATTAGCCAAATGTCTTCTGGATCGCTTAGAATGAAATACAATTGAGGAGATTTGGAAATTGTCAAGGGTTACAAGCACTAAAATTAATCATTTTGTATTTCTTCTTTCTAATGGCTCATATAGTTGTACGTGCCTTTTACAACAAAAAAAAGGTCTTGTTTGTCAGCATTTTTACCATTTGCTAAATATTACAGAGAAGTCACAGTTTAGTTTATGCCTAATTGCCAAGTGCTGGATTCCAAGAGACCAATGATTAGATGTTGCAAAGGAGGGTATATACTTTGGTCAAAGGTTTGGTAATGCCGTTACCAATATAGATACTGTACCAAAGAACATTGAAGGTCAATTTGTGTGGTTACAGCCATTTAACAATAATGAAACAGGTGAAACTACAAATGAAGGGTATATTAATGAAATGCTTTTTATGGGAAAGTTTGGGGCCTTGCATGTACTGCTGTAAACAAATGCATGTTACATCATGACCATGAATTTGTTTGTTTAATCAAAGAGTATATGAGCAGGATTCATATTAGGGAAGATGAATTGATCGGAGAACAAGAAACCTCGACGCATACTTCATTTAACAGACATACTATTGAAGACATACCACTTGCGATTCCCCAAAAGGTTACTGTTAAGGGAAGACCAAAATCAGCAAGTCACAAGAATGCTGCAAAAATTACATTACAAGATACAGGAAATAAAAAGAAACGTGGACAATACACTTGCGGATTTTGTAAAGAGCCAGGCCACAATGAGCAACTTGTCCAAATAAGGTAGAGGAGTAAGTATATAGGGTTGGTGAGAATTGATTATCATAACATTATACTGGAGATTATTTGTGCGTATGTGCGTTTATATGTATTGTTTGATTGCTTTGTTGTTTGCATGTTCACTTGATTATTTGTGTGTGCATATATTTGTATGCATCATTCTCACATTTATAACTTAGAGTTATTGACAAGAATTGGTTGTGAAGTTAACATATGCTTTATTGTATGTTCCAATTATAGTGCTACATAGCAATAGAATGTTAACTTGAAACAAAAATGTTGTTTTGTGCTGTTATTCTTTGGACAACTAATTAGTAGTGTTATTAATCAGTCTAGAACTATATTATTACACTTACATTTCTGTATATTTATTGTTCTTTAGTATGATATTATTTGATAATCGGTTGATGATTCAGTTGACTAACATTACCAACTAATGCTGTAATATCAAGAAAGTGTATATATGTTGTGAGTCAAGTTGATTTTTAGGTTGAGTTAAACTTGACCCAAGTCAAAATGATTTCAGCAGAATTTTAGGGTTAGTGCGGACCGAAATTACGTTGATACTGGCCAGGTTTTTTAATTGATTAAATTGTCCTGGGTCAAGTTTAACTCAATCTAAAAACCAACTTGACTCATAACATATATACATACAGTATATACCAGTATGTGCATATTTTCATGGTAGAGATGAAAATCTGATACTACGTTTAATAAAAGTTTAATGACAACTGTTAATTGCTATTACTGTCAATTTTTGAGTTCCGGTTTTACTTAGTTATGCATGTGTTTAGTATTTAATGTGGTGTACATTGTAGTAATATAGTCTCCAGAACCGTTAAATTCAAAAGATTTATTATTTTACTGGACTAGAGTTGCTTGCTGCAAAGTCGCAACTTGCAATTTACAGCTTATTTATGTTGTAATTATTACAAATAAGTCATCATTTACTAGATTAAGATGGTTATGTCTATTGCAACAATAAGTTGCAACCCTAGTTGCACTATAAAAAAGTCGCAATTCATATTTGCAGCAAGCAACACTATACTGAACATGTAATATGTATATGGTTGTTTAGTTTTAAGGTTTGGGTTAGGGTTAGGGTTAGGGTCGAATCATGTTGCCTTGTGTTACATTACATGATGTATTAGTTATATAGATTATAGGGGTGTCGATCATTTGTATTTATTTGATTACATAAGAGGTGCACCATGGTGCAGGTGCACCAAAAAAACCCCATATTTTATTCTATATTATATAAAAATTTGATAAAAATTAATTGCAATAGTAAAAAGTTTTATTAGTAGCAAAGCTTTATTTTTTATAAAAATTATATTGTACCACAAAGATCATATAAAAAATGATCTATGTATACTCTACCCTTAAAAAAAATTCAAAAATTAAGATGTGTTTAGAACTAATTGCAACTTGTTGTAAATGATTATCATAAATAATGAGCCATTTTGAATTTCTTTTTAAAACTTTACACTGCAAAAAAAGGAAGAGAGAGCAGAAAAGTACATTTATACAGTCTCTATTTTAAGTTTATTATTATATGCATTTACTACAATGATTTGAAGCTAGATAGAGTCATAGCTATATTGTCAATATCAAAGATATTAAAAATTCAGATACTTCAAATCATCATAATAACAAACAGAATAAATATTGTAATAAAAATTTTTTATTATTATTATAATTATTTATTATATTTTAAACTAAGTTTTGTTTATGAGATTTGACAAAAATAAGATTTTGATTAGAAACAATTTCAACTTGTTGAAATTGTTTATTATTAATATTGAGGTGTTTGTCATATCTTAGTAAACAAACTGATGAAAAAATGAAAGCTTGGTTCTTCCTGAAGAATGAAAAAGTGTAGAGCATTATTTAAGAAAAGATATGGTATAAAGTTTAACAATTTTCAGGCTGATAGCCTAAAAAATTGTTTTTGATAATTATTTGTAGAAAGTTTAAATATTCTGTATAACTTTATTTAAATTATAAATACAGTACTTATTTAAATATAAATATATTTTATTTTTTAGTATTAATACAATGTCTATTCTAATTTTTAAAGCCTATCATAATATTTTTTTAATAAAACGAATGCATTAAATATCTACTTGAAAATAATGTTTTAAATAATATTAACAGATGTATGCAATGTAATTCAATAACAATTAGAAAAGAAAATTTTATATTTGCTTAAATCAACAATGTCAAAAAACAGTATCAGTTTTTACAAGATTATTTTTTTCAAATAATAATATTTCCTGTTATAATATTTTGTTATTTGCTTATTATTAGATTGCTAACACAAAATACACAACTATTAGCTTAATAACTAAATATTTATTAGTAACAATAGTCAAATATATAAATATTTTTTAAGATTTAGTAGTTAGCACTTTAACTGATAATGATCTAAGTATCAGTAGTAAAAATAAAATTACTGAAATTGATTAATCAAAATTCAAGAAAAGTGAAAATTGGTGATGTATTGATGAAGTTGAAAAAACTGTTTAAAGAAAATGTTTTTTTGAAATTATAGAAGAATGTGATAAAGAAACTTTAAAACAAGTAATCAAAGAACATGTGCATCAAGGTTCAATAATACATACAGACAAATGAAAGACATATAGCTGTGTTGAAGAATTGGGTTTTAGATATTGAGTAGTAAACTATTTAAAAAATCATATTAAACAAGGCACAGATGTATATACAAATTATATAAAAGAATTATAGTATAGAACTAAATTAAATATAGCTTCAAGAAATAGAAACAAAAATATTAGTAAAAATTATCTGTTAGAATTTGCTTGATGAAAAAAACATAAAAACAATTTATAAAATGCATTTTTAAAAGCTCTTGAATTATATAAAAATTAAATTTTTTTTTTTAAAGTAATAAAACATATATACTGAACTAATAGTAATAGTAAAGATAAATATATCAAATCTACAGCATGTAATATATTTATTTTTAGTATTACCATTGGTTCAGTATATATATTATAAGAAAAGTAGGTGTATTATGGCCAAGTTAAAGTTATGGTCAACAAAACTTTTTATTAACCATTTAGATTTTCATATAATAATTACTATTCAAACTATACTTAATATAAAATAGAAATACCTCAAAAAGATCTTTATACAATTAACATTTTTAGAAAATAAATGATTAATATACAAAGAATATAAAAATCGATTTGCAGAGGAGGAGAGTATTGTGGCCAAATTAAGATCTTACACAAATAAATTTTTTTTATCATATTTAGTGACCCCTAAACATTCTTGTATAATGATAATAACCATTTTTTATATTAGTTCAGTATTACTTATCTTTATTGTATAAAGCTAGAATTTTACAACAGAGGATGGCTTAGATCATAAAATATTGCATCTGTTTTTTTTTATGCTGTTTTTTTTCTTATAGTTTTTTATTTTTTGTTTTTTTTTGCTTATTTTAATCACCAATTCTTTTTTTTTATTAGATTCCGAGAGTTTTCTGTCTGCTTCTTCGTTTGCTGCTTTTAGTTGTTGCCAAGTTTCTTCAGAAGTAAGAAGCTGTACAAAACAGTAGAGTCTTTTTTTTTTAGAGGAAGGTGATTCTGGATCCAAAGAAGCTTTAGTACACAAAACTTTAGAAACTAAATATTTAAGAGCAGATCATAGAGAACATGTTCTGAGATTCTTATAAATTTCTAATTCTTTTTTCATTGCTGCAAATTGAAGTTTAACATTTCATTTTAATTCTTAAGAAAATCATTTTCATTTAAAAGAATCTCATTTTCTTTTTCTAACAGGATGGTATTTGAACAAGTAAGACAAATATGATGTAAATGAGTAGACAATTGAAAAAGGGACTCATTCGGTTGTGTAGAAGATTGGTTATTTAAAGAGATAGTGGTAACTCAGGCTGTTGTATAAGGGGTTGACTATTTGAAGATACAATATCAATCTTTCTGTTGCTAAAGAAGAGTTTAAGTGGTCTGGACTAATAGCTTCAAGATTAAATGACCATATTCCTGTACTTTTATAGGCATTGCAAATTGCTAATAGTGTATAGGTTTTGAGAAAAGCTGAACCAAAAACTCATGTGAAAGTATACTTTGTTACCACTTTATCATTATTGTTATAATTATATTTATCATACTTTTTAGCATACCTATTTTTTAATTTTGCAAAAGAAATTTCAGAGAGTTGTAAAATATGTGTTGTATGGGGATGGCAACACATAAAGAAGAATTCCCTTTTGGTGACAAAAATTAACACATGTATAGCTTATGAGGCTCTTGTAGCCATCTAGCATTAGCAAAACAGAACAGGCAGGTGAAATTGAATTGTTAAAGTAGGTAAGATACATTTGGAAAAGGTCTTCATGCATGTATCCAGTACTTGTAAAACCCATTATAGTCTCTAAGGATGCACCTTCTAACAAACCAGAGAGTACACGAACACCTTAATAAATAATTAAAGATGAAATGTATGACCTAGCAGCTGAAATTATGAGGGCAACAGAAATATGTTTGTGAATTTCTATGCACAACCTTATGGACTTGGCATGCACTTTTTTTTGTGATAACCTTTTTCAACTTGGGCACAATAACAAACCCAGTTTCATCTATATTCCAAATTTGAATAGGGTAAGTGAATTTTCATCAATTATTTTTTTGAGTCTATCTAAATGGTTTTTAACAACAACTAAATTTGCCCTTTGTGCCTAAGCTTCTGACAATTCTTGGGAAATGTAAAACAAAAGTTCAGTATGATCTTTTATGAAGTGTTTTCACCAATCTCGGCCTGGCCCATTGTCATCAAATGAATGTGGTCTTTTGTTGCCTCACATTATTAAAAACAATACAGAAGAAACACCTTTCACTACAGTTATTTATAGAAAACAAAAAACTAAAGGCAAAAGAAAGGACCAATCAAAAATAAGTCACTCTTATAAGAATGAAGAAGGCTCTCTACCAAGCCATCTACAAAGAGTTTAACACAAGA